TGGCGCGTGGTACACGTGTGTCCCGGAGAAGGAGTCGTGCTGGCCGGGGACAGGTGTCCCCTGGGAAAAGGAAAAGGTGGGTCAGTGCACTACATGTAGCTGGTCGACGAGAGCGCGCAGGTTCTCCAAGGACTGAGTTACGCGCTCAAACCTTCCTTCGCGGAGGGAGCGCAACTCATCCATACAGCGGGCGTAGACGCTGTCGGAGACGTCGATACGGAGGGATGTTCGGACATCTTCGATATACTCCACGATGCGATCGTACATCGCGCGAGCGCGTCCTTCGGAGAAGTCGGGCGACGGTTCGCGGTCTCGGGGACCAGCGTCGCCGTCGCCGACTCGGACGCGGAGCGCGGCCTCTCGCACATCGGCGGGCTCCGAGCGAATCGAGGTGGGATATTCGCCACTCATCTCGACGCGTACGGACGCGGAGGTAAACGATAGTCTTCTCGGTTCGATCTTGAGAGTCTTCTAGGTCGGGAGACCACTGTAGTATAATCACCCCCAACGACGAGGGGGGTGAGTACTGACAGTTCGGAAAGACCCCGATCGGCGGGAAGACAGAAGCACGGCCCACCCACGATACCGAGCACGGGCTCGAGGTAGCGGTGGTAGAGCGGGATCGGGGAGGACGCGCGCACGCGCGAGCGGTTCTACGCCTCGACGCCCCGGAGCGGTACTGGGTGACGATCCAGTACCGACGGGCGGAGCCGGAGCCGGCTCGTAGGCGTGCTACGCGCGTCCTCAACCCGCGCGCGGTGCGACTCCTAGGTAAAACGGACGGAAGTACCTAAAAGTAAGCGGGCGGACCAAGGTGGAGGATCCTTGACAAGTCCGTGCTTGTCGTCCTCCACCGGCGGCGGTCCGCTCATATTTAATGTATATTGTAGTCTATCATAACTCTACAGTAGTGCCGGTCGACCGACACTGTAACGCTGTCAGCCGTCGGGGCTGACAGTCCACGTGTAGTACGCGTCCCGTCCACGTGGGGGACACATGTGTGCGCGCGTAGCTGTAAGGCTCGTGCCTTAGTGTCGCTGATCTAATCCTAATCTAATTTCCGAATTTCCGTTTGGGGTTATACCACAAACATCTGTCCAAGCCCCCTCACGCCCACGCATCCAGGCCCATATGCATGCATTTGCGGCACGAACCATACCAGCTCCGCACTCCCGATCAAACAACACCCCAAAACCACCATGCAACTCGGCACCGGAGCATCCAGCAACACTCGCCGCACCCCGCCACCTCAACGCTCGAATAAGAACCCTGAAGCCCCCTTGCACATCACTCCGACAAGTCCCACCAGACACACCCCCTGACACCACAACAGCCGCGACCAAAACATTCCACGACTGGCACATCAAACTCGGGCATATATAACCCAAAACAATGGTACTGATGGCGAGAAAACAGCTACTGCCTATACTACCAGAAAGCATTAGCCAGAAACCACCAAAAATCACCTGCAGCGCCTGCCACACAGCTAAGCTCAAACCCGCCCCACACCGCCTAGCGAATCATATAGCCAGGACAGGAGAACGTGTATCTTCCGATGTGCTCGGACCAGTCTCACCACCGTCACGCATCCACCACCACCGCTACGCAATCACCTTCATCGACACAGCAACGCGGTACCTCTTCCTTGCCCTGCTCACTTCGCGCAAAGAAGTCCTAGCCCAGGTAATGCACCACATCGAACGCATCAAAAATATCACAGGCCGATACCCAAGCCTGTTCAGATGCGACAACGCCGCAGAATACATATCCAAACAAGCGCAAAACCATCATCTCCAACGAGGTATCGACCTTACCCCATCCACCGCCTACACACCCCAAGAGAATTCCATTGCAGAAAGGATTAATCAAACACTAATGCGCCACGCCCGTGCAGCACTTCAGCATAGCCGCCTAGACGACAGCTTCTGGGCAGACGCGCTACGCGACGCAGCCTTTAAATATAACCCGACCCACCACACCGGCGTCGGCAACCTTCCCCATACACTGCGGCACCGGCGCCCCCCGGTCATGAGTCAAATACTAGCCTTCGGACAACTTGGCTCCATACCCTCACTCATCCCGATCAAAAAGAAGCTGCAAAATAGGGCTGAACCTGTTCGTTACATGCACGGAATCGACGAAAATCACATTCGCATATACAATCTCCGAAATCACAAATACCAAACCGCCCGCACTGTCAACTTCTCGCCGTATGCCCACAGATTGGATCCGTGCCGACACTCCACCATAGCCTTCCACACAGCAACGCCAACGGTTCACCAGCTCTCCGGACAACAACGGTCAACCCGCAAAAAGCCCTCTTCCCAACGCAATGTACCTGAGACAATCACAACCAACACACTGCCACCCCGCTCTACCGCCCAAGCAAGGAAATACCCAGACGCCAACTTATGGCAAGTAGCCTACGACAGCGAACTAGAGCAGCTTGACGCGAAAAAGGCCATAAGATGGGCGCCACAATCAGAACTACCACCACGACACTTAATAATCCCCACTACCTCGACATACAGATACAAAACCTCGTCAAACGGAGCTACACGGAAAGCCCGTTGCTCAATCAGGGGGGACCGAATGCTGCCAAACGTACACTTCGATCCAACTAAAACAGCAAGCTTCATGGCAGACAAAGCCACGGTCCGCCTGATCATAGCCATCACTGCCGCTCACCGGCTGCATGTCGAGCACTTCGATATCAAATGCGCATACCTTCACGAATCATATAATCACGACAAGCCAGTATACGTCTGGCAACCACGCAAATTTGACGGCTCTCTCAGCCACCCGCACCCAGTTGGGCAACTGCAAGGCAATATATACGGCACGCCCCCTGCAGGTTACATATTCTCTACAGCCTTACACCGGTATCTCAAGAATAATGGTTATCGCCAACTCCAGTCAGGTGTCTCCCTGTTCATCCGTACCAAAGGCGCAGACTACACCTTAGTAGTAGTGTCCATGGACGACTTTTTAGTGGCAGCAACAAGGCATAACCTCATTGACGACTTCCACAACACCCTCTCCAAGAAGTACAACGTCAAGCGACTCGGACGGCCAAAATCCTACTTGAACTGGCATTTCTCCTTTACAGATAAGGGAATACATGTTTCACAACCTGCCTACATCACCAAGATCGCTGAACGTTTGAAAATGAGTAACGCAAACACCAAGAAATACCCGTACATATCAGGAATTAATCTTGATCCGCCTGCAGACGACGAACCAGAAATCACACGCTCGAAACTGTATACGGAAGTGGTTGGAGATCTCCGATATCTGGCAGACTGCAGGAGATTTGACATAGCATACATTACCGCTGCACTAGCCAGGGCCCTTTCCAAGCCAACAGAGAGACACTGGCCACATCTAAAGCGGACCATTCGGTACCTGCTTCACACACCCACACACGGAATATTATACCAGTTCGACAAACCAATACATCTCACCAGCTTCGCTGACGCAGACTACGCGCGCTGCGGCGTCACTCGCAAATCAGTCTCCGGGCATGTCCATCTTGTTGGAGGATCACCAGTGCACTGGCGCTCAAAGCGGCAAGACACAGTCGCCTTATCAACTTGCGAAGCTGAGTACGTGTCCGCAGCCCAGGCATGCCAGGACACAATCTGGTTGAAAGACATGCTGCAGGAGCTACCCATAAACTACAGGGGGACGCCGCTCGTGAATGTCGACAACAATTCTGCGGTCCAAGTCGCCACCAATGTGGCACCAACACGCAAACGGAAGCACATCAATATTCGCTTCCATTACCTTCAGGATCACGTTACAGAAGCCACTATAACCCTCAAGCACGTCCCCAGCACAGAGATGCTAGCCGACCCACTCACTAAACCACTAAGTGAGGCATTGTTCACCTCGCTGCACACGAAAATGCACCTCTGTCCTCTCGCACCCACTCCGCGCGTTGGGGGGACTGACACGCCGCAAGCAGCTCCTACACAACGCACGAGTGGTCGCGGAGTAGTAGAGCATCCGACACGCCGCTGACACGCCGCATTACAGTAGCGACGGCGCCTCCAGCCAGGAGAGACATAGATAGAGAGCAAACACCTTGAAGACCACCTGGAGAGGAGGGGGTCACAACAGTCTTTCTCCACACGGAACGACGTACCCCGTTTTCGCCCCAACAGATCATTAGACCCAAAAAACACCAACCGGTGGAGATGCTCTAACACACACTTTGCGAGAGAACGGGATCAAAATTTGCCCATTTCATGACAGAAAAGTTAGTCGAAAAATGTCGCGTTTGTGCTTTCTGGCTAAATGTGGTACTAATGGAAAGCGGCGATCGAGCGGACCTCGCATATGGACTTGAAACAAGCCAGAAGACCATTCCTTTGGTCTGAGAGCTTCAGAGAAAAGAGGAAAATTGGCGCGAGATGCATCAATAAAAATAACCAAATTCTGCAAATATCATATTTGACCCTTTTACTATTAGTACAGCAATGCAAACTAGCTGGACTTACTCAGAGCTGCCTTCATCTGTGAACGAAGGAAAGATACCGTCGACCGTAAATTCTAGTCAGATGGGAGGTCATTAGGCAGGCTATCCTCTGTCAGCCCTAACACGGCCATGAGGGCACTTCAGGCCATTCTTGGCATCATATCATCAAGTGAACTCCGTGCTCGTCGTTAGGAACGGCACACCATGAGGGCACTTCAGGCCATTCTTGGCATCATATCATCACGTTGAACTCCGTGCTCGTCGTTAGGAACGGCCGTTCCTGGCAGTTCCGGGCAGTGTGAGGATCATGCGAAACTTCAAAAACTTGAATATTTGAATGAAAACTAGAAATTTGATTATTTCTATCGACGACTACATTCCATCTTGCACCTCCTCCAAACCAGGACAAGACCGCAAAGAGAATGAAATTTGGGCCACTTGCGTTGCTTCAATTGCGATGAAACCTTGTCCAATGCTTCAAAACACCCCCATGAACGGGTTAGTGGTCAATGATTGGCCAATGTGCTACTGCGACATTTTATTGACTCCAACAGATGTCCGAAAATGTATCCCGTTCTCTCGCGATGGGCGTGTTAAAAGGATAAATTGTAGCTTCGTAATCTCTCTACTACATCGAGATTTTACTCTGTACCCTTTAAAGGGTACCCTTTGTGCTTCGGGGTTACAGGAGGTTGCACGTTTCCTGATGCACATGAAGTGTGGCGAAGGTGATCATACTTCACAAGAAACCGTCCCGCTTTTGCGATTTTACCGCTTCCGTCAACTGAGGAATCACCGCGCAAAGAGAAGACTATAATGGCATCTAGAAAACGGTGGTTCATGGTTCTTCGGCCTTTCAAAAAGCTCCAGATATATCTGCATGCACCTCATCATAATTGATGCATGCTGTACCATAACACAAGGAACAAGAGAACTCATGCTATGAAAGCCGTTCAGACGTGTGCAAATTTCGATTCTCCAGCATAGGAGTGCTGCCCTTGTCGCCAAACCAAAATGCCAAGAGCGCCATTTCTCAATCATCCAACGTGGGCACCGGGACCGAGGAAAATAGCTTGACCTTTAAATTCGTCTTGTGGAGAGTGATTTCTCTTTCTCTTTCTATGTCTCTATATAGTCTGAAACCTAAGGTCTCCCGTGTACAAATGGGCTGGTTTCAGAACCACTTTACCCAATCCTTGAAGAACACGATGCTCTCAATGCCTTACTACGGAAAGCCCTGCAAATCCAGGTAAGGGGGAGGGTACAACACCCTAGGAGAACAACACAGTGAGCGCTTCTCTAGGTAGCAAGTTCAGATCACCGAGAGAAGCAGCGCTATCTCTAGATGTGAACTTCCTGCGAGGGTACTGCTGCGAAAGCGTTACATTGCGAGAACCGATATCCGGTCGAGTGGATGCAAGGAAGGACAAGAGATCCCCAACCGTATGGTGCCGCTCGAACTCCCCTTGGATACGGCTACCGTCCGGCAGTCGAAATTGAATACTTCCCCTATCGGCAGTCGCCCTCGGGGCAACAGGAGGAGCCACCTTTGGTTTAGAAGGCTGAGGGTTGCTTGGTGCTGGGCCCGGCATGTTGAACTTCTCCCTACGCCGTTGTTTATCCGCCTCGAGCATTTGTCGAACCCTCTCCCTTTGCTGCTTCGCTTCCAACTTCTCCCTCTTCTTTTCGTCAACCGCACGTTTCCTCGACTCCTCCTCAAGCTTGAGCTTTGCTGCCGTCACTTCCTTTCCCGATTTTAGACGACGCTTCTCTTTCTCGATAGCTTCCTTCTTTTCCTCAGCCTCACGCCTGGTACGTGCGCGTGCATACAGCTCATCCGCCTTCTTTTTTGCTTCCTCCGGACTGAGCTTGGGTTTGCTGCCGCCTTCCTTCGTGACAAGCTGCAACGGTTCATCGATATCCGCGTCATCTGCGTGCTGGAAGCACCACTCTACAGCCCTTTCAATGCTCTTATTGCCGGTCAAAATCAATGCCTTTTCTGCTCGAATCTTCGGAAATCCCATCTCTCCGACCATAGACTTCAGCAGCACCGGATCAACCTTGAGTCTGGCGTCATTTTTCGCAGGCCGGGGCCCGTCGCTACTGGCCGACGGCTTCCCATCCGATTTCTCCGCGGCAGCGGCTGCTTCTTTAGCCGCAGCCTCTTCTGCGGCTCGTGCTGCAGCCTTCGCCTTCGCTACCTCCTCCATTCTCCTCGCTGCTGCGTCTGCAGCAATTGCACGAGCACTCCTCGCACTACCCGAGGGCTTGCTGCCCGAGCCGGACGCTGACGCACCCGCGGGATCACTCAGCGTGCGGCCGGACCCCCCAAACGAGACATCGGAAGAAGATGGGGCACAGCGCTCGACCTCAGCCGCTAATTTTGAGCTGTCAGCACCAGAAAAGTCCGAAACCCGGTTACCTTTCATGTACATGTGAAATGTCGGCATAGCGGAGACGGAGCAGTGCTGGGCGACATCCTGGGCTTCATCGACATCAACCTTGATGAAGCGGGCGCGCCCGGCGTATTTGCGGGAGAGTTTTTCGTAGAAGGGCGCGATGGCGTGGCACGGACCACACCAGGTGGCATGGAAATCGACGACTACAAGCTTCTTACCGCTCGTGTTGAGGATGGTCTGAAACGCCGAGAGCGAGGAGACGTGTTCCAGAGACATCGTGTATAGATGGAGCGAGGCAGGAGGGGTGGTGGGGGGGGGGGGGTGCCGGGGTTGTAAGGGAAAGAACAGGGGAAAAAAAGGGGATGAGATATATTGGACGAGGTGCGAGAAGGCGAAAATTGAAATATTCGCCGAACGTGTCTGGGACTTCAGGACTTCGAAAGGAAGGACTTCCGTGCAGTGTGCTTGCTTACAAGGGGATTGGTGAGCGGAAGCAAAAGTGTGCTGGAACGCGTGACTTTCGAAATTTCCGAAACGTTTTGATCATTCTGCAATAATCGAGACCTCTCCATCGTTGTGATTGGTTTAACTTCGAACACAATTGTGACGAGGGGGCGGCAAAAGGCAGCACTGTTAACGTCCATGGGTTTTCGTGCTTGTCGGCATACACATGTACCCTTCGGAAGGGTCGTACCCGAAGGGTAGGTGGTCAACCCTTATACAGAACCATCTCTTCCGCAGCCAGTTATAATGAAACGTGTCTAGCGCGTGCACCAGATACGAAGTAGCGATTGATTCTATCGTTCCAAGGTAGAGAAAGGACTAACGAGTGTCGTGGTACTACGCAGGTTGTGTAAATGGTAAATATCTTTCTACCTTCTAAAAATGGCGTCGTATGAGGCCACTTGTCACCTACTGTAGAAACAAGTTCAAACTTTCTTATGGGCCCGTATGATGTCAATTGGCTTCATGTGAGGTCCTTTACGGACTCAGGTCTGACACAATGGAGAATTCTTTTTAAATCAGTTCTTTCCGCAGTGCGATCTATTGCTGAGTTAAGAACTCTTACATGCCCTAGCTAGAGGCGCACTTTCCACAACTTTCTTCCGGTCGCATTCCTTCAAACTACTGCATTATTGAAATCCAAAACTGGAGTTGCTATCGACTTATCTGTAAAACTTTATGTATTTTCGGAAGATGTGGCACCTTATTCTCATTTCTGGGGATTTCATAGTTCATGCTGATGTTCAGAGATTAAGCTGATGTTCAGCAGACTTGAAGCATGGTTTTGGCAAAGTACAAGACCGATTGATGTAATTGGATTTTAATTTACCCATTACCAAATGTGAAAATATCAATAAAATTTGCAATACAGGTCAGAGGCACTTGCCTTTTCTGCAAATCATGAGACCTGATGCGAGCATAAAAATCGACTTCCGAACTCTAGAGATAAAACATTTACAGTATTTCATTCTGCGACGGTGAAAGAAAGGATTATCAGCAAGTTCATGTCCACGTGCCCGCGTTTACAATACATAGTTGGGCATTTAGTTATGCGCAAAACGCAGCACGATTCTGCTGGCGCATGCTCTACAAGTTTAGTGGAAGAATAACTACTGTGTTCACCAATGAAGATGGAGCGGTCTACTCTATTCAAGAACAAATCGTGCTGTGAAAGGTATATCTGAGACTCACATCAATTGTTATTGACCCGAACAATTGAGTACGAAGGGGTCAATGAGGAGCTGTGAAGCGAATGCTGCACTCGCAGATCAATGCATTCTGAAAAGGTATAGATACGATGGAAAGGCCTTTGTGATGAAGGGGAACACACTGAATGCTTCCGGGGAGCGAATACATGTGTACTGGTACATGTTTTGTCTGTTTACGGTTGTCGGTGAATCGATGAGGAGATGAAACTTTTAAATAAGGCGGATGTGCGTCTGGTAGAGATCGATTGTACCCAAGGGGCCACTTTAATAGGGGTTTCATGAGCGTATTATGCCTAAAAGCAGTAGCGGTTAAATGCTACTCAGTTTTAACGTTCTATCTCTTGATAAAACGCGGGCACGCACTATTGTGTTGCCCTCATGCCTCTTACAGACCGACACTGTGTGGTAAAACAATAACACAGACTGCAGAGCGATCTTCAGACCTAATGCACCTCCATCACTCAATTGCGCCTCCATTCGAACAGGATAGAGGGCTGACAACGTCACCTTTCCGCCTTGCTCCACCACTCGAAATCGATAGATAGCTGAAAAAGCTACTCTTTGCTTCTCTGCCCTCCAGCCACCCCCTCCTGTTCGTTTTTATTCTCTTTTCTACGATGCTCGACAAGATTCTTAACAACCTGTTCAACAGGCCACGGTGCAATTTTGTACTTGCATACAGCTTATGCATTCGCTTATAGAGATCACGAATAAATCTTTGTATTAGGCTCGACCAGCTCGATCAGCTCGACCGACTCGACCCAATCGTCGGAGTATCGTGTACGCGCATTTGAAACGCTATTCTCTTTTCTCTTTACTGACAATGGCACTTGCATTTACCGCACAATGCCAGATGCACCCCCACAACAGACAGTCTATATTTGTTTCATGTCCATCCCCCAGTTCATTCATGCTTTCCCTTCCACACCTTCCCTCCACTTCAACCCTCTGTTTCAACTACCAAGCCTTGCAAACGCATTCAAGTTCTTCCCTACCTTCCCTCTCACACACATCCCTTCCCTCTGCACCATCTTACAGCCCCATCTATCCGCATCTACATCCACGTTCCTTCGCAGCTTCATCTTCCCTTTCACCGCGCAATCATGACGGTCGGGGCGCTCTACATCGTTACGGGGTTTGCTCTCCTATCCATCTTTCTCCATCGTCCCCACGGTCACGCCCTCCTCGCCGTTCCCAACCAACGTGGTGCCCTGGCCACCTCTAAATTTGTCAAGGGCATCAATGAGTCGGCTCCGAGGGATCCTTTCGCCCATTTTCCGGCGGGCGAAAAGGCCGCAGTTTCTGGGATTGCCGTGGCTTCTCAGGTGAAGGCGGCGGGAAAGAAGGGGTGGAATCCGTTTCTTCCATTGGAAATGGATTTCGTTTGGAGAGCTGGCGTTTGTGGAGATGAGAAAGGGGCCCGTCAAGATCACCTGCGCGGAGGAAAGTACTACTTCGGTGGTAAGGTCGTGCAGGCGCACGTGCAAGGGGGCATTTTGGCAGCGCAGGTGAATCTGGTGTCGAACCATGGCGGGTTCTTCGAATTTCATGTCTGCGACGTCTCCAAGTGTGGGGGTGAGATCTCGGAGCGATGCTTTCGGAACGGCCATTGTCAACAGCTGCAGCGGGAGCCGAACCCGATTTGCGACAATGGTCGGAGCCGGGCATGCGCACCGATTGACCCCCACTACCCTGGTCGGTGGTACTTGCCCTGTTCGCCGTTCGACCCGAACACGATGCATGGTCGGCAGTACCTCGGGGGGAACAAGATGTTGTACCGGTTGCCAAAACACTTGCATTGCGAGCATTGCGTTCTGCAGTGGTTTTGGTCGACGTCTAGCAGGTGCAACCCCCCTGGCATGGTGGAATTCTTCACTGGAAGACAGGGGCCTCACTGGGGTAAGTGCGAAGGACAAGGGGGAGCTGTGGGAGGAGTGAACCCAAGGCGCCAGGTTTGCAATCGGGGTAACTTCCCGCAGGAGTATCTGCAGTGCGCGGATATTTCTATTCTACGACGGTCTACCGGCGCCATTGGAACAACCCCGCACACTCCTCTAGCGGGGGGGAACCCAGGTCCGAGCCCGTCGTGGAGCCCGGTTGCAAGTGGTCCGGCTCTGCCAGTGACGGATTTGGAGAACAACCACGATGAGCATGGGAGCAACGCCGGCGTTTCGCACTCCCATGGCGATCAAGATTTGGCCTTCAGTGCATCACCCGTCCCGGAATCGCAAAGTACGGGACCAGAAGAGTCGGGCGTTGATGTCGAAGCTAGCAATCCACCTGAGCTAGACGACACAACGCCGCACCGCACCACAGATGCAACTCCGGACCCTTCCCACACGCCTCGTTCGGCGCGTCCATCTCCGATACCCAAGTTGGCTATTCCGCCTGGGTACCCAGAAGGCGTGTACGAACATGGGAAAGGTCACATGGGGATGGGCTCGCGAAGGGCTTCTGTTGTGGCACAGCATCGAGGGTTTTGGGAATCGTATCGGTGGGCTTCAGGCGAGCACTTGAGGAAGAGCCGGGAGAGAACGGCGAACCGTGGGGAGCTGCCGGAAGCGGAGACCGGGAAAGTGCATGGCTTGCTCTATCCGCCGGGTCATTCGATGTTCGAGGAAATCCGGCATCTACTGCAGCGGGACGGTCTGCGATGGGCAAGGGCTGAACTTGCAAGAAGAGAAAACGCAGCAGAGGGGAAGCCCAATGGTGGTAGTTGAAGAAAGATCATTTTATTGCATAGTATGTTCGTGTCTAGTTAGTATGTGTTTGTTTGTTATGTGTAAAAAACTCTGTTTCGTCAAAGATTCATCCGGAGACGCTTGCTTGCCACAACATGCTGCTTTCGCACAAGAAGAAAACTGGTGGGGTTGGTGAAATCGCATATAAAAGAAGAGTCCCGAGGCCGTGGCTCAATCACAGGAAGGCACTGTTTCCTAGTCATACTGCCGTCGCGCATATAGACCGAAAGAAATCCACAACTCCTCGAATCTCGTCTAGATCATTTTCTTGCATCATCCTCATACGGTGTATGTCTCCAAACATTCATTCTGTCTCTTTCACATTTCTGTACATGCTCTTCGCACCACCTGCTGCCACAATGAATCGGTGAGCGTGCTCTTGGCACCGTCTGTTACTTAGAGAGCATGCATGTTCTTCACATCATGTGACGCTATGGTGAGAAGTGCGTAGCTTTTTTGAGACAGACATCTGAAGCGATCTATAAGCAGTAGGGAATTAGCAATAGATGAAGAGTTGCAAAGGTAACCAACCACATGCATTTCTATCACATTACGTAGAACACTACAAGTCCCCCTCCCAATATTTTCATGGCTATCTCCAACCTCCCACAGTTCTTTCCTTCTTGAGCAAAAGGACGGTCACAATGGTTTCCCTTTTGTTGTTGCTATGAAATGACCTTCTCCTTCTCCTTCTCTTTTGCCCTCTTCGCCCCCCCCGGTGCTTGGCGCCCAAGCCCTCCCTGAGCACCCTCCTAACGATACGCCTCTGCACGGCCACGCTCTCCCTCCACAGCACCTCGCGATCGATCCTCAAGCCGTCCGCGCGCGCGCACATCACACGATCAAACACGACATCCGCCACTCGTTGCCAGTACTCGCTCTCGTCTCTCACAGAAGGCTCGCGCCACTCCCCAGACCTTCTTCCGCCTAGCCGTGCAACTTCCCTCAGCGCAGCCATGACGTTCCTCCGCACACGGTTGCTCGCATACTTCACATCTTCGCTGTGCGTGTCCCGCCACAAGTGTAGTCCTTAGTCCACGCAAAAAGCGCCTCGTCTCCTCGCGGGGTATGTAACCGGCGCCCGATGCACAAGTCTCACGCCCTCGCACAGACATCGCCGAGAGCCCATCTGAGCCGGAGCTCCGGCATGGCTAGCCATGCGCCAAGTTGAAGAGCACGGTCTCGGCGAGATCCGTCCTCGTGTGCCCCGTGAAGACGGCCTGAAATCCATGCGACCGGTTCCGATTCCCACGGCCGCGCGCTGGCGGCATCGAAGACATGCAAGGGCAGGGCGCCTTTCTGCACGTAGGCCGATACGTGATTCCGGATGCCCTCATCGTGTGGCCAGCGGTTTTATCGCAGTAGGCGAGGGGGAGCGATGGCCACGGGGGTGGGGTTGTTCTCGCGCGGATGCGCACCATCGTTCGCAGGATTTTGGCGAGGGCGAGCGAATCTTGGCCACCGGGGATGGCCAGCAGAAAGTTACGCGGGGTGGAAGACCGGCGGAGACGCGAAAGAACACTGGCAGATAGGGGGGGAAAAGGGAAGTGGAGTCATGACCTCACGGTCGAGACATCTGCACGGTTCGCGCGTCTCTGACGCTGAGGTTTTGGGGCACATACAGTAGAAGGGGACGGGGAATACCCTTGGTAGACGGAGAATGATGGGGATTCGACGGGGCGGAGTAAGGTACACGTGTACGTTTAGTGATTGAGAACACGTGTGGGCTTTCCAAATACAGTATATTGGATACAGTACAAGACTGCTGGCTCCAGCAGTGGTTACTCTCTTGATACCTTACTCTGCTGCTTTTACTGTACTCTCACAGTTAAAGCGATTTAAATTGGTTGACGTTGTTGAGAAATACTCCTGCGTGCTTGCTTCCATGGGGCTCGTGGTGCATTCATACAGATTAAGTTGAATGACCAAGTGAAGGTCTACTTTTTGCTTCGCAGTGCACAGCGCGTAGTTTCAGAGATGCCTTTGTAATCAGAAAAGGAAGAAAACCGTTTCCATCTACGACGACGACAATTTGCCTGAAATCGATTTGCACGTAGTTAGGCGACTTCGGAATTCTTCTACACCGATGGGGAAACACAATCCTCACTGCCACGTGCGTGAATCAAATCAGATAATGCATTAGGAGGTCTTCTACACTGCAGCGGAGGCAGAGGAGGGCATAGCAGCCGGAAGGTCGCCGCCCAGAAGGGAGTTGCGCGACCTTGCGGAAACGAGATGTTTCGGGTTCTCTCCAAGCGGCTGCTACTCCCCGAGGGTGGCTCGCCGAGATCCTGCCAATCTTCCAGGTGAAAGTTATCAACAGCAGTACAGAAGCGAGGCATACGAATCACCTTTACTCTGCCGTATGGGAGCTCGCGTTAAGGTCGAAGTCTATATCCAGAGCCCATACTCTCTTCGATATGTAACCGTTCAGCATTGCGGCATTCGCGAAATGAATACTCATAAGAATAAAAGCCCAAAGGACGCACCTGAAGCTTGCGTTGCGGGTTAACTCCGCTTGCTGTCCAATTTCCTTGGG